CTTGAAAGGATGAGTGGTTTTATTTACCTGCATTACCGTGGTATGCTTAGGTGGAGAACTCGGGGAATCCTTCCCCACCCCCCATCCTTATCTATGGAAACTAGCATCTCTGGGAGAAAGTGGGAGTTTGAGAGTCATGGCTGGTGGGAGGACAGTCTAATCTGCCCCCTTACCTCCACGATGCAGCTTGGGACACATTGCAGCTATGAGCCTCAGAGCCCAAAGAGAGATGTAAAGTAGAACCCTGCATGGTTAAAAAGTCTTCTACTGCCCTGGAGGATGGTGTTGGGACTGGGAAAGGAAGCTCTGTCCTAGGTGGTTCCACAACACCCTGCTGCACCTTGGGGCAGCCACAGGCTGTCAGAAACATTCGACCCTGTGTGGCTGACCTTGGCAGCTTCTCAAGGAGAAAGGCTGGTGGTTCACAGCTCTGCTATTCTCTAGACCGTCTGACTCCCCTCAAATGCCCAAGAAGCACCAGATTATTTGCATTCGTACAATCCCCAGACATAAATGTCTTATCTTTTAGTTACGGTTTATCTCATTCATCTTTAGGTTATACTGGCCTTCAGCTGTGTCATTCAGAGAATCCAGTCCCATCTACGTGCTCAGCCGTGTCAGTACACAACATGGACCAAACTGCAAACTTGTATGCACTGAACCACCGGTGGTTCTCCCAGATGAAAGCATCCAACCCTAAGTATACTCTCCCAGCAGTAGGGCCACCTCTGTGTGTTGCAGACCAGGAGGCACAAGGCTTCCCATGCTGCGATTAAGGCTAGAATTCCCCGGGCCTTCAGGCAAAACAAGGAGAGAGCAACCCACAACCAAAACTGAAAGTAAAGTCAGAGGAGGACGTCCTGGGTCACAACTCTGGTTTTAATTCCAAATAATCTCGAGATTGCATTTTGGTGCTGTGGGAGCTGGTGACAGTATTAGAGGTCTCAGTTAAATGAGAGGCTGCTCTTAAGAAAGCGCTGCAACAGCACACAGGGTTCCACCCAGGCAGGAGACTCTTCCCTTCCTTTCGCTAACCAGCCTTCCCACTCAGTCTATCCTAACAACAAACTGACCTCAACATAAAGGGGCAGCCAGCCTCACCATTTCCCAGCCCGCACACATTCACACACCAGAGTCCCTACTAATAATTGTCTTCCCAGTCTTCATACAGAGGATTCTTCTGCCTGCCACCCAAGAGGGAGTCTTCATTCTGTCATTTGAAAACAAACCAGTTAAGTTTGGATCTGTGGAGATTCCACAGGCATCCCTTTAACCTACTGTGCACACTGTCCTCACTGGCTGTGCTTCTGGACACACTGAAGTCGGCCATGAGGTTAAACCAGGCCAGGAGACCTCTTTCAGGAGGGAATTCCTCTGAGAACCAAAGGCGTGAACTCCAGCTATGTTGCATGGTAGTTTTTTAGTTGTTTCACCTATAAGTGTGGAAGTTCTACTGCTCTGAAAAAAAACCAAAAGTATATGTATGGGTGTTCTACCTGCAAACACACACACACACACACACACACACACACACCTGTCTAGCATGTGCATGGTACTCGTGGATGCAGAAGTAGAGAGTGCTGGATCCCCTGGAACTGGAGTCACAGATAGTTGTCATGTGGGTGTTAGGAACCAAACCAAGGTCTTCTGCAAGAGCAGCCAGTGCTCTTGACTGGTGAAACATCTCTCCAGCTCCTCTTTGACTAGTTTTGTATAAGACGATTTAGAGTCGTAATTATAGCGCGTGGCCCTCAGTTCTGTCACCCGTGCTCAGAATAAGGAAGAAGGAAGGAAGGAAGAGGAAGGAGGGAAATAGAGAACTGAATGGTATATTGTATTGAAGTAAACTCTAAAACGTAACGAATTCTCTCACTTCATAAGACAAGCGATAGCCTAAGGTGTATATTCAAAGTTTAATTTCTCTTTGAACACCACCCAGACATGGTGGGGGCTACAGGTAGAGATAATTAGGGGTTGGGCAAAATACTTCTACATGTTGTAGAGTCAAATGTGCCCCCCTAAAATGATAATCTACCAAGTCTATCTAACTCATGTGTCTTATTAAAGCAAATGCCACTGAGAATACATCTTTACTGAACCATTCCTAAGAGGATAGAGGTGTGGACACTGAGCAGGGACATGGCTAACTCAGCAATGAGGGCAAACACTTCCAGGCTGCTGTGTCCAGTCCCCAGGCTGAGGGTGAGCGGCTGCTTGCTCATTAGACCTCAGCCTTCATAGTATCCGTAGCTTTGGATTTATTTATTTTTCTTTAGTGGCTGCAGTATCAGTCACATCTGTTTGGGTGCACCAGGCTACACAATTGCAAAGTGTCTTCCTGGCCCTGTCTGAACAGCAATCCTAGGGGTTCCTGTGTTCAGGAATCTGATGATTATGTTTTGTCCCTGGATTATTTGATGGGGCCTGGCTCAGAAAAGGTTTTTTTTAAAAATCGTTTAAGTCCGTAGCTTGCTTGCTGAGTCAACTGGCTGATGCCAATGACACGTCAATTTGGTATCCACTAACACAGCCTAAACACAGCCCAATTACCCGGAGGCCACCTCTTACTGCTCTCATCATCTTGACAGGTTCACACCTTGTAATCTGCAGAGCTTCTAGGAGAGAGAAGCTCTGAAACTCCCGCTGATTACATATGTGGTGGTAAGGGACAGCTGTGCTTTGTTCTGTGGGAAGGAACAGAGTATACATTCTTTTCTTACAGATGTTGGATCTGCTATGTTTTGTAACAGTAACAATTATTATCAGATAGGTCTATAGCCAAGCAGAATGTGGGTAGCTAGATCAGTATCCTATGCCCAACTTCTCCAAAGACAGTAGGAAATCCACATTTTACCTGTAGCTAGAAAATACGCAGACAATTTCTTGTGTCGACATTTACAGGTGAAAACACAGATCATGGGGTTCTTGTAACCTCCTAACCTACCCCCCAAAAAACTTTCCAAGTTTGTACCACAGCTGTGTCTGACAAGGTGCTAATGTGTATTTTGATGGTACACCACATAAACTAAAACCATTTTTTAATGTGCCTATTCTAGGGCTGGGGGGGATGATTCTGTGGGTATGGCACTTGTCACAGTAGGAGGGCTTGCATTTGGATCACCTGATAAACTGCTGGGCAGGTGTGCTGACCATGGTAACCCAAGTGCACGGGAGGCATAGGGGGGAGATCCCTGGAGGGAGCAGCAAGCTCAACTAACCAAATAAGAGAGCTCTGGGTCCTGGTGAGAGACCTTGCCTCATACACATGGTGAAACGTGATCAAGGGAGCCTCCTCATGCAAAGGCGTCCGACAGTGCATGTGCACACCCCACATACACTCTCACTCACATACACATGACCGTACAGCACACATACTCATGCAGAAACAGACAAAGTTACCTATTTTGAAGCTGAATTTCTCCTCTGGTACGATCTCATGTGGAACTCATTTTAATTGTTTTGTGAGAAACGAACTTATAAAGTGCTATCTAAAAACGCAACAAATTGGGATCGTCCAATGGCCAGTCACCCCATTTTTGTGTTTTTGAGGGCCCCTCTCTATCCTCTGGACCATAGGGCGGGCTTTCTGGTTCCTGACGGAACCGTTTGCCGTTTTAAAGCTATGCTGGTTCAGTGAAGTGTTTATTCTGGGAGCTTCATTTCCCTCTGCTTGGACACCTACACCTCATTCCTCAACCAAGGCAGTAAATGTCTAAAATTGGTGCTGGCTCTGGTAGACATGGTGATGACATCAGCCTGTGTCCCAGCTCCTGGAGAAGAACAGTGACCACTCGGTCACTTGTGGCCAGTTAGGTCCCAGCAGCACTGTCTTGTCTGCACATCTCCAGGACAGTCACCATGGGTTTCTCAAAGGCTTGCTTGCTTTGTCAAGATCAGAGATCAGGGGAGGGTGGAGGTAAAGGGAAACACACACACACACACACAACTGTTTTCGAGGGAGAACTTGCCTCAGGTCGAATGGCAATATGCTGCCTCTGACTTCACTGAACTGTACACATGAAATGGTTGACACGCTAACTTTTGTTAAATGCTCTGTGTTTGTGCGCATATAATGGGCGGCAACTGCCCGCACCGCGGGGCTGCTGCTCTGAACATCTATTAAGCTGCTGCGTCCTTAGTAAAGCACCCACTCCTCGCGAATTAGCAAACCGCACTTAACCACAGAAGTTTCTAGCTACAAGTGCCACAGAAGAAAACCTCAAAAACACCATGTGAGAGTTGGGGATAGGGATCGTGCGGAAGCGCTGCTTCCTCTGGGTAGTTCTTTGATGGATGGTGTGGGGAGCCAGGGACTGAGGCACCCTTACCTCCTCTCTCTGGAATCGCATATAGGCTTGCCCCTGTGGAGGGCAACAAGAACCCAGCGATGATAGCTCGCCAAAGGGCGGTGCTGTTACTGTGGAGCTTGCCACTGCGATGAGAGCCATCCAACTGCGGTGTACACACAATCTGCTTACTGGCTGACTATGGGGCTGAAGCCACTGCGCCTTCCGGGCTCTTCCCAAAAGACAGTAGTTAGCTGAGGACGTTTATGTCCTTACAGGGCATCAAGGTGCCAAGTTAGCTGCAGAGTGGAGGGGACTCTGAGCGGGCGGCTGAAACCTTAAGAGCTGGGACCTGCCAGGCTCCTGGGTACCTAACTTTCCTAGCAGAAAATCAAGCGCGCGCTGGATTAGAACTAAAACTCCGGATAGACTTGTCAACACATCTCTGCTCATAACACAGCGGCAAGCATCAATCTGCGCTGGCTCTGAGCCGCCCTATCGACCTCTGCGCCTAGGTTATCCGCAATTTCACGTGCTCCTGGCAGGCCTGGGCTGGCTGGCACTTGCAAGCTCCACAGGCAGCTGAGACGCTTGGCTGGAGGCTGCAACCTGGGGCTGCAGAGCACCCACCCGCCCAGCACTCGGGGTGCCAGAAAGCTTCCATTTACCGCTCTCTCGTTCACTACAAATGCCCCCACCCTCACCACTACTTACCAGAAGCGGAGACCAGCAGACAGACAGCACACACATGATCCCCATGAGCTGGATGGCGGTCTCGGTGGTGATCCGGCCCCACTGGGCGCTGGACTGAGAGGCGGCGGCCTTGGCCCGGCAGCGGGACACTAGGGCTTTGATGGTCGCCAGGTTGCAGGCAAAGGTGATCACCAGAGACAGTAGCCCCAGGCAGGCAAAGGCGGTGGCAAAGGCCACGCTGCCCGGCTCTTGCGCAGGGTCGGTCTGGTTGCCCGCGGGCCCGGTGCTGATGAAGCACCACGTGCCGGGCCACTGCACGCTGTATCGGCCCACCCCCAGCACCGGCAGCAGTGCGAAAGCCAGCACGGCCAGCCAGACGCCTAGCAGCACGGCGCGCGTGGCGCGAGTCTTCATGTGGCTGGCGTACCAGTGAGGCGCGCGGATGGCCAGCGCGCGCTCCACGGCCATGGCACTAGCCACCAGGAGCGAGGACAGCCCGAACACCGTCATGGTCAGCCCGAAGAAGGTGCATAGGCGCCCCGATGGGTCGAGCTGCTCCCAGCTCCGCTGTGACAGGTACACGAGGATGACCACCGGGCTGGTCAAGAGCTGCCCCACCAAGTCGGTGAGCGCCAGCCAACCAATGCACAGCAGGAAAGACTTCTTTCGCTTGCTCTCACGGCGCCGGTAGCTGCGCGACACAAGTAGTATGGCCAGCGCGTTGCCCACGAAGCCGGTAACCATCATGGTAATGGGGAACGCCACCGACACCGAGCCGCAGTCCTCCGCGGCGCTTGACAGGTTGCTTCGCGCTTCGGTTGAGCGCCCCGGCGCCCACATGCCGGCCGGAGTGGCGGGGCCGCGGAAAGGGCGCGCGGGGCGGGGGCCTCCCGATTCAGGTGCAGGGTAGCAGCGCACCCGGGGACACGGCGCGGGCCGGAGCTCTGCTCTCCATCACCCGCCGCCGCCCGCGCCAGGCTGCGGGGTCCCGGCAGGCGCCGCCCGACGCCGCGCGAGGCTCCACCCGCGGCTCGGAGCCTGAGGGGCGGTGCCGCGCGTGGGCAGGCTGAGGGCGGTGTCCGCCGGGATCACCTGGCTCAGCGCCTCCTTGGCCGCGCTCGCTAGTCCCAGGGCTCTTCCCGCATCAGACTTTGTAAAGTGCTAGACGGTTTCCATGTGTAACATCTAAGAAAAGTAAGGGCGAAATTGGGACATCTTAGTATCTGCCACGATGCTGATTTCTGATCATGTTCGGTTGTCATTGAATTGGGGGGGGTATTTGTTTTATTTAGGGTAAATATATAATACAATGAGACCCACAGCTGGGAAAGAATAGGGATGAGCTCTGCTTCAAGTCTTCTTCAAACGATTGCCTTATTTACTTTGAACTAATCCCACATTCATATTGGAAAAGTATTTTTTTTTCTAGGATAATGTCAGTTTAAAAGTTTAAGAACAGTTGACGTCATTCTTGGTTGTAAAAGCAAGCAGACACATGGATGAAAGTACGCACTACATTCACATTTTCACCAATGAGTGAAATTCTAGTCTAAAAAATTTAAGAACATTTCAGAATTCATTCATCAAAGAAAATAATGCCACCTTATAGTTATATCAAAATTATCCTATTTGTTAATAATTAAAAATATTTGTAGTATTAATTAAATATCAGTAATATATCAACATCTCCTTTTCTATTCTCCACTCCAGTGTGTGTGTGTGTGTGTGTGTGTGTGTGTGTATGTGTGTGTGCGCGCGCGCGCGCGCGCTTGCATGGAGGTCAGACTTCAGCATCGGATGTCTTCCACTGAGACTCTGCACGGTGACTCCTCCCACACCCCAGCACTGGGTTACAGCACAGCAGCTAGGCTTTCACGCAGATCTTGGGAATCCCAAGTCTTTGTGGCTGCAGTCTATCCCCTGAGCCATCTCCCCAGGTCCTAAAACTTAACTGTGAATACACACAATGGGAACATGTGTTGGCAAAGGCAATTAGTCTCTCCCTCGCCTTAACTAAGTTTCAGTAACCCTTTCGTTGTTACAGCATTTTTTTTTCGCCCCTAGTTATCTGCTTTTTGGCTGTTCACCTTGCAAATAAGCAACTTCCATGCTCTGATGCTTGGTTTCCTGTTGGCACTTTTTGCTATCTGCAAGAGTTGACTTAGTTGGTATGAAACAACACTCCCCTCTAGTGACTAGAAGGCTAACATGCACTATCCTGTGCTAAAGAGAATTTCTTTTTAGAACATTTTTAGCCTTGTGTTGGTATTTGTGTGAATGTGTTCACGTGAGTGTGTGGATGCCCATGATTGTGGAGGCCCAGGGACAATTTGGGGTATCAACCCTAAGAATGCTGTTCACTTTCTTGGAGACTGGGTCTCTCATTGCCTGGAGCTTACCAATTGGGCTAGAATAACTAGTCAGTAAGCCTCGGGGATTTTTGTCTTGAATCCCACAATGATGGGATTATAAACCCACACCACTAGACAGAGCATTTCCACATGGACGTTGGGGACTGAATTTAGCTCTGTACTTGTAAGGAAACCATCCTGCTTTCCTTGTTAAGGATAGCTCCTCAATGGTTACTCTCTGCTCTGCTTAGGGAATCTGATTTCTTTCTTAGAAATCTGGTCATTAGTAACAGTAATCATCGCCCACCACACACACTTGTGTTCACAAACTTACCTCTCTGATCAGCAAATAAGCCGGAAAAGACTGAAATTAAAGAATCACATCTTCATATTTCAAAAAAAAATAAAGCTTACATCCACCTGTCAGCATATTTTAAATTCTGCTTTAAAATATTTTAACACACAACTAGTTTATGTCACTTGTAACTTGGTTTTGATTCACACATTTCAATATTTAACTAATGCACATGAAATTATTTTACCATAGTGAACTTCCACAGAGACTCTAGTCTCATAACTAGGTCCACTGTTGCCTTGTGAAGAACCTGCACTTAGTAGAGAAGTGTATTTTTCATTCTTCACTCATTTGGTGAGCACTCACGGGTATCTGGTCTGTCAGACGCTGTCTTAGTCTTAGAGATATCAATAAACACATTGACGTCTCTACGGTCGGTCAGTCGTTGAGTTTAACATTGAACCCTTGATATTCAAAAGCCCCACAGAGGGAAGGATACAGATCCCAGAGGCTTTTGTCTTGTAGAATGATTTGTTCTGGAGGTGGCATCCTATAACTTAGTGAAAAACCATATATTGTAGTGACTCTGGATTGTGCTTTTTTTTTTTTTTTCCTCCCGTGGGCCCTTGACTGTCCTGAAGTTCACACCTGTTGCTGTGTCTTTCCCTCTCTCAGGCCATGCTTTTATGACCGCGTTCACTGCAGATGAACTTCCGCTGTGCTTCTGTAATTTGCTGGTCCTTGGTGGGGGCCACACTGTCTGACTCTGATTCTGTCAGTCTCCTGCTGTGTCCTGAACTGCCCGTGGTGGGTAGGCACTCCTTTAGAAGCATCCATGCGGTAGACATGGCCAGCGATTTACCTGTTTCAGGCCTGGATTTCTGTCTGCTCAGCACTTGTGCTTCTTCTCCGTTGGGGGTCTCTGCTCCTTGGGCAAAGTTCAGCTGTGAAACATGGGTAAGGGTGTGTCCATTTGCGTCTCTGCTGCGGACCTAATTGTGAGAATCTCTTATTAAACCTGTGCCTCTCCATGCTTGATTTCAGTCACTGGCGCCGTTCACCTATAAAGCCTTCCTCATCCCTGCTTTTCCAGAGTGTTTTCATGAAGGTTGAGTGATAGCTTCATTCCAATAACAGCTCTCAGTTCCGTGTTTCCCTTTTACTTTTAAAAATTAACCCCCTTTGATTTCTTCAAGCTTTTGAATGTTTTCTACTGAGATTAATACTTTAATAAAAATTTAATTGCTTTTGGTATTTAAAAACTAACATTTATTGGCATCTTCAAGGTAGTGTGATACAGGCATACACAGCTCTTTTTGTTGCTGTTTGGTTGGTTCTTTGTTTTGTTTTGTTTTGTTTTTCAAGACAAGATTTCCATGTGTAGCTTTGGAGCCTGTCCTGGAACTCCCTCACAGAAATCCACCTGCTTCTGCCTCCCGAGTGCTGGGATTAAAGGCATGTGCTACTACCACCTGGCTAGCATTGCTGTTTTTAATGTGTCCTTTCCAAAATTCAAGCATCAAAACTTCTTGTTATGGCTTCAGATGCAGATCTTACATGTATATTCTTCAGCCTACACTAATCTACCACAAGTACATGGAAGGAACTAAGAAAGATATAAAGGTCAGTGAAAGAGAATGTTCTAGAATTACACATATGAAGTAGATGTGTATGAACTCTATATTACATATATACATGCCACAGTACATATTTGCAAATTCAATTGCTTTTGTCATAGGTATTAAAAATAAGTCTCCAACAAATACTGTTACAAAGCTGATTATTGTGCTACACAAATGTAATCTCAGCACTTGTGAGGCTGAGGCAGGAGAATTTCCATGAGTTTGAGGCTCCTGGTGAAGACCACATGACAAGATCATGTCTGAAATAACAAACCCTTCAAAACAGATTACCTATCTGTATGAAGATAAAAGAATATGACCTCACAACACATAGAATGATTAAAGATTTAAATGTGTTTGAACTTTAAACCTAGACTAAATAGAATATTTTTATAAGTCTCTAATATTACTAGGAATACCCCTGTAGCATGCTTTGTTTAGTAACATATAATGATCCCTTTTGGTCAATACACTTGGAAATCTTTCATCCTTCTTGAATGCTAATAATCTAACCAATTTTTTTTAATGTTTGGATTTGTTTGGTAGTTTATCTTTACTATTTGACTGTATCTGGTTGCTTGGGAGACACTCCCAGAGGATTAACTAGGGACTGAAAGCTCACTCTGGGTGTGGGAAGCTCCCCACACTGGGCTGAGGGCCATGACAGAAGAGTGAAAGGAGAAAGCCAGCAGATCTCAAGCATAATCTGCTTCCTGACTGTGGATCCAATGTGACCACCTGCCTTGCTCATCTGCCAGGATGAATGCATCCCACAAAGGACTGCCTCCTGACCCAACCGCAAACTGTCAAACAAAGTAAACACTTGAGTGGCTTTTGTCAAGTAATTTGTAATAACAGTGAAAAGTAACTGATACAGAAATTTGCTACTGAGAAGTGGGGACATTGCTGTGACTTCCTATGGGCCCAAAGTTGTGTGCTGGAGTGCCAGAACTGGAGGGTGGGTTTGCCCAATTCTTTTGGAGGCCAGATGAAGACAATTGCCTTGGATGCTGAGATCTGGTGTTTGCCCTGCTGGATTTTGGTCCCACTTTGCCCCATTCTTCCTTTTTAGGATATGAATGTTAATTCTGTGTTGAATTTCGGAAATACTTATGTTTTGACTTTTGTAGGGTATGGTGGTTTGAATAGGAATGGCCCTCATAGACTCATGTTTCAATGCTTGGCCCAGAGGCAGTGGCCCTATTAGGAGGTGTGGCCTTATTGGAGGGAGTGTATCACCATGGGGCCAGGCTTTGAGGTCTCAGATGCTCAAGCCAGGCCTTGCATTACTTTCACTTCTGCTGCCTGTGGTTCAGGATATAAAACTCTCAGTTCCTTCTCCAGAACCACGGCTGCCTGCATGCTGCCATAAAGATAACTGTAACAGCAGGCCACCCCCCAATTAAATGTTTTCCTTTTAAGAGTTGCTGTAGTCATGGTGTCTCTTTGCAGCAACAGGAACCCTAAGACATTGGGACTCACAGTTAAGACATTGTCTTGAGTCTCAGAGTAGACTAGACATTGGAACAACCATCTCAACAACGGTTGAGACTGGGAACTTTTAGAAACTAAATGCACTTTACATTAAGAGATGAAAATGAGGCTTTAGGAGGCAGGTGGTGGGATGTTATGATTTATGTGTTAGGATGTCAGGTTGACAAGGGATGAATTTGAGTTAATCTTGTCAACTTGACTTCATATACCATCACAAAAATAACTCTGGTTATGTCTATGGGGGTGCTTCCAGA